AATTGACATTGCTGAGTAAAATGACGCAACTATATTAAACACAACTGGGTTTTAATTTTTCCGTCGTTACGGTGGTAATTGCTGGAACAGCGTGGTTTTTAAGCTTTGTGTGCTAAAGTATGTTTTCTGGCTTGTCTCTTGGGGGTTTAGAGTCACAGTTCATCAACATTACCAGTCACAGATTTGTGATCAATTTATTGAAACAAATATCCAGTGAAGATTTTGGAAGTAAGTTATAATTAATATTAATTGCTTCAATGGGATTTTCGTGTGTTTTTAGGTTGTGGGTTTGAAAAACAAGTGCAGCCAACTGTGGGTGAAATTACACCAGGTTGTGTGAATTTTACATAGATCTATAGCACAGATTGTTTTCCTTTGGGAGTCGTTGTCACAACCCAGAAGGCCACAGTTTTATTCGTATTTCAGTTTTAAGAGATTATTACTTATGTCGTCAACTGTGTAGTTTGTAGTTTTCTTCTCACTTATTCATTTTGCTATCTGTCTCTTATAATTACACCCATTCGCGGTGCAATGTGTACGATTTACGTTAATTTTTGCGGTTCCTTCTTGTAAGTCGTGGTTTTCTTCCAAAATATAGACGTTGAATGTTTCAATAAGTTACAGACCTGCATTATGCATTAAATGAAAGTGTTGTATGAAGTAGGCTACCGTCACTAAATTCAGAAACAACGAATTTTTCTACAAATGCCCTTTTCAGCCCCTGGGTTGGCTTATAGGGCCCCTACTATCAGTATTTTTAAATTTTAAATCAAAAGAATGAGATCTTAATGATGTTATATAGAATAATACACTTATTATATGCCTAATCAAAACTATTCTTTTACGTAGGCTTTATAAGTTAAATTGTGGGCTATAAATAAAAGGCACAAATAGGCCTATATATAAAAATATTTATTTATTTAGGTATTATATAATTTAGACACACGTCTGCGGTATGCGGACAGCAGTGGGCATCGACAATGAAGACCACAAAAATTATCGTACCGGTGGGCCTGTGTTGCTTCTTACCTACTCTTGTAAATAATCAAAGACTTATCACAGAGCGAAGCGAAATTGAACGGATGTCCTGGACATGGATGCTCATGTGGGTGGTCTTGTTAACAATCTGTATCAACGTCATCATAACTTTCAGTTTTGATATTTCAAACATCTGATCATTCAGAGACTTTCAATACCAATCACATCGACAAAGCTTCTTTCGTGGGATGTTACGTCAAAGGTAATATAAATGTCAGTGGTAAATACATTGATGTCGCTTATTACTGATATAAAGTCGAATACCGATTGACAAGTTAAAAATTGTTCTATGAACGTGGTCTCACTTTGACAGCAGCTTCTCAATGTGCTCCTGGCGAGAGACATGTAATGTCCCATCAGTGGACGCCCCGCGGAGAAATATTTCAAAACGTAAGCTTGAACCATTCTTGCCAGTCACTGATGAGTAAGGTCGTGTAATGGCATTTATGCGGTTATCCGCGGACTGCAGGTTTACAAATGGGCCTAATATGATACGGAAAGAGGGATGTGACTGCGTTTGATCGCAAGATGTGTTTAAAATCCTTTAGAGGTTCTTTTCTGTTGTCCCTGCATCTCTCGCACTTGTCTTGACATTTCGAAATCTTAGCAAAACGGTAGAATAAATATCTATATGTTTATAAAATACCTTGTTGGTTGGTGATTATTTGGTGTTCAGGAATTTCGGGTCGTATATGATAATATTTTCCCTCAGGGACTCACGTTAGTGAGTACGGGAAGTGGCGATCCCGAGGTACCGGAGCAACCCAATGCCTGGGGTTATAGCTGGGCCACCCTGTCTCCGGGGGATAGTAATTCGGAGGCCTGGTCCTCCAGGTTGAGGGTTGGGCGTGGAGTTTACAGTCCCATTCCGGAAAAAAATAATTGTACAGAAACCTAATACGAGAAGAAGCCGGACTGATCTAACGATTTCGTCCTCCAATAATACACGGAGGATGGCCGACGAGAGATCAGAATAAATGAAACTCGTTATGGAGGCCAAGGCCCTACAAAAGGGCTGTAGTGCCACGGAGTAGGAATATTTATGATATGTGTTTTATAACCCTTGCCATGTTACGGTGATCATAAGTATTACCATTTTCAGTTAACATACCGCTCGATCTCAAAGTAAGACTTCAAGTGGACCTACTCCTTTTTAGTATTGATTAGTTTTGATCTCAGATCATGTAATCGTATAGGTCAGTTATAGAAAATGTTAGGTGTTCTTAGATCCTTTCAAACGTCTGACACGTTCCACATAATTTAAATTTCATCATTCAGGTCACCCTACCGTTTAGCGCAGTACAGCCGATTAAGTTGAAAAAGCGTACTGTGATTAAGTAAAACGAGGCTCACAAACGCATGTAGAAAGAAGAGGCTTAAGTTGTATATGTCTACAAGTAGGCCTCACATACTAGTTTACATACGTGCATACATAGATTTCGTAAATGAGCGCTTCCAGAATTAGTTCTAAGGGAGGGAAATATTGGGTATTAAATGGTGATGCTGGTTAGTTACAAAGGTATAAAACTGACAAAGCACCATTTAAACATCTGGACATTTTGGTTTGCAGCCAGCATGAAATTATGTTTTGTGTCGTACTGGAACTGCTCACACTCGCACAAAAAAAAGTTTTGTTCCCCCACTACTGTTGCAGCTAAATCTCCCATTAGCTTCTGAACGCGGTCCACCCCTCAACTTTTATAATACTTTAAACTTTCACAACAAAACAAGTTCATCCCTTTCAGCCATCGTTCTCTATCCTGTACCCTAACTTGCTAAAGAAACCGAATCTTTAATTAACACTTCGAAGGGTTTCAATAACACAGCGGGATACTGTATAAAAAATCTTAACATATAAGATGGCGGCAAATGTAATACAGAACAAAATGGCCACCACTATATAACCAGCCTTTAATACAGGATGGACGGTAATAATGTTTACCCAGAATACACTTATTGTCTTATCAAGTAGCGTTCAGATAAGCGAATAAGCTTAAGCTTAGACCACATAATAGTCCAATTATAATATTTGCTAGAATAAATGTTATCTATTGGCTTTTTCGATATATTTCCTGGTCTCATTTACAAGAGAGCTAGATTTTCGGCTGTCAGTCATCTCCCACACAGTCCTAGGCCTTTTCTTCCTTTCTCGTGATTGAAAAACACACAAGAAACCTGTCATAAAAATTCCTGTTCCAACATGTACGTTTATCCGCTATTCACAATTAAAATCAGTTAAGGCATCCATGTCAGAATATATTTTGCTTAAAAACTTTTTATAAATAGCTACCATTTCTCATTTGACTTAAGGTTCTAATGCTTATACGTGCTAAACAAAATGGGCTGTTCCAAAACGTAAAATAATGTGATTTGAGGATTGTGTTTCGTCTCTTAAAGCCACTCTGTCGCGGATATCTTCACACCGCACAAACAATTTTCACAGACGAAGCCATGGACTCTGCGTCAAGGCGGTCGGCCTCGGAACAGTTGCACAGGCGATGTGTTAAGAGTACCAGCTAAACAGTGAATTTCATTTAGATCAACTGTATAAAGTGTAACAAACATTGGAAGAATCCAATTCGTTATCTGATATTTTACTGATCTCATAGGCCTTGATATTCATTCATTCTAATTCCAAATGTATTGTAGTAAAGGAACTACAGATACTAATGTACTACACAGTGTTAGAATTATTTCCTTGAAGTACTTAAAAATCCAAAAAGAATTCAAATTTAGATTTCACTGTGAATAAAGTTTATATTTTGTGTTATGTACTAATATTTTGTACCACGGACCTTTTTAAGAAAATATGTGAATATTCATTTGATCTTTATGTAATGTAGAGATTATATTAGACCTTCGTAAATCAATTTAAATTCAGCCGACAACTTTTAACGCAAATCTTCTTTACCAGTGACAATTTGGTGACGTCACTACATCAAGTTTATACCTCTTACTTTTGGTCACCCTGTATTGTGAAAACTTATAATCTGAAGTCCAAAAAAGAGCCCTCCCTCTGTTTTCCACAACTTAAAAGACCCCCTAATGTTTCCATGCAAAAGAATGACCAGGGGTTGGAACATACACTAGACTTATATTTATGCGAATAAAAGGTATCTAAGTTGGCAACATTGTATCTAATAGTTGTGTGTCCCCTAACACCCATTGTCGTCTGTTGTTCCGTTTTGCTTAGATTCAGCAATCGTACTTCCCTGTGATGCCACATTAAAAAGAAGCCGAAGGAAAAGTAATAAAAAGAGAAAAGGACAGAGTGCAGAGGGAGAGATAATACATTAGATGAATAAGTAACTATTAAAGTACGTCTGCACAGCTGCGCCTAATTGAAGCGATTATCTGACAACAAATTGATGCGGATTATCCACGTGTCTCATTCTGTGACCTCAATTTGCGCTGGACTGAAAGACGATGCCATCGACTTTTCTGTCTCGTTCTCGAGATAAAATGTCTAATTTGCCTTGTGGCTCAGTTCTAAACCAGTATGGCTAACACTGTAATTGTTTTCACTGTTAAAATAAACACGTCGTTGAAAAGGAATCATAATTCAAATCTGTGGGTTTGCGTTTCGACCTAAATAGGTTCGAAATGTAGTCAATATACACAAGCATACTCGTTTTTTCACTGTCGAGATAGAACATAGGAAATAGTCAAGATTCAAAGGAATTTAATTTGTAAAATTATTATCACAGCTTGGACACGTGGGATAGGTTAAGAAGCTATTGAAAGTTTATTTACAGCATACTTAACCTATGTAAGATTTGAGGTTTTCACAGCGGTGAGTATGCAGATTTCTGTCTTCTAGGTTGTTGCGCTGTGTAATCTGGTAGATGTTTACCAACGTTTCAGAGGTCATACTGCTTCCGTCATCAGAGTATGAAGTTTTCTGTCTCTGGGTTGTTGCGCTGCGTAGTCTGGTCGATGTGTGCCAACGTTTCGGAGGTCATACGGAGGCAGTATGACCTCTGAAACGTTGGTAAACATCTACCAGATTACACAGCGCAACAACCTAGAAGACAGAAATCTTCATACTTATCGCCCTGATGACGGCGGCAGTATGACCTCTGAAACGTTGGTAAACATCTACCAGATTACACAGCGCAACAACCCAGAAGACAGAAATCTTCATACTTAACCTAGTTCCGTGCTTCGGTAGTGGCTTATGATTTATGTTGTAGAGCTTAGACCGCGTTTCGATTTCGTATTTCTTATTTCTTGTTCAGTCACTTACGGTGAATGAGATAGGCGGGGGAAGTATCGCGCATGGAGCAGATGAGAAATGCATACAAAATTGTTGTTGGAAAGCCTTAGGGATGAGACCGCTTGAGAACCTAGGAATTGATGGGAAGATAATATTAAAATGGGTTTTAGGAAATAAGTTTGGTGGGTGTGGGTTGGATTCACCTGGCTTAGGTGGCGGGTTATATTGGCTTCGTCACCGTCTCCCGGTCCAACTTTCTTCACAGTCCTTGAGAAGCTAATGTCGTTCAGCTAGTGAAGAAATGTCCCGCCTTTAATGGAACTCATAGGTTTATTGCCGTGTTCACAAGATCGGGTGTGTGTTTTAATGTGAAATAATGAAGAGAATGTCATACACAAAGGTTTGATATGATTGACACTTTCACAGTATGAACCCTTTTATCATTGATCTTGGAATTATAAGCTTTGGTCCAGAATCTGCATGTAAACCACTAACTATTAAACACATAAACATAATATTTCTGGGTTTTCGTGCCGTGTGTCCGATGAAATAATTGCCCATCCCTGATTTTGATGCAGAGAAGACACATTGAATAAAACGCCGCTGTAGATAGGAACCTATGAAAAGGGGCTCTTGAGCATTGAACTTCCAACTGCAGAAAAGGAGTGCCATCGTCTCTGAAGTAGAATAATTGCTTCAGACCTGCGCACATCTGCCCTCGGAAGCAAGTATTGTGACTTTTTACGTATATCTCTGCTAAAGTGAGAGCTTAAGGGTCCCAGTGGGGCGCAGTTTTGGACAATTGGTTTACGGGCAGACCTCCACGAGGCTTGATATAAAGTGGTAGAAAATCAACGAGCATCTGTCGTTCTGTGGCACCACAGTCAAAAACGTGAGTTATTTGGTGAAAATACATTAGGTAGGCCTAAAAGTTGTAGCTGTTCGCGTGATATTTTAAATTTTGGTCTATGGAGAATTGGAGTGCTATGTATGTGATAATATTTTGTTATCTGTTTATTTTTTGGGAGCGTTCGCAACTCTACGAGAGTGAATGTTAAAGTCGCTTTGTCCGACCGTCCTTACGTACGTAAAATCTCGAGAACGACCGATCGGATTGTCGTTAAACTGGATATTAGGAAAATTTACTGAAAATTATTGAGCCATTTCAGTCTCTGTTAAAACTGGACGACAGTGACGGACACATTATATGAAGACCTACGTGCACTTTTGCACGCAGAAGCGACTGGTTGTTTACATAAACAGCATTAACCAGCTGGTTTTTGTAATGGTGATTCCTTTTTGTTTTCTTCGAGGTAATAACTGAATTGTATGATTGCCATGACGTCACACGTCTATATCTTCAAGTTCTTGCTGTTCGCTCTCTCTGTGTATACGTGAGCATCACAAGTTAAAATTCATGAACTGAAAGTACAGGAAATAACAAATTGGATGTGCCAGAATTGTTACGTTATGCGTGTATTTCTTAACTTGTTTCTTATCGAGAAGTTCCACAAAGTTTGATTTGAGGGAGTTATACTGGGCATATATAGGCCACAATGACATTTGTCTAACAACATTCCCATTCTAGAATTTTATTGAGATCTGAGGAAAGATTTTTTTAGATGAAGTTGACTTTTTGTCAGGAATAAAAAGACGATGAGGTGTTAGAACACCAGTAACTTTTTCGTTACACATTTAAATTGTATACGCGGTGTTAGATGTTTAACTGCGATCTGAGATGAATATTGATAGCATACTTGCTTCGGAATTTAGAGCTATAAAGCTAAAAATACTTTCTCTTCACAAAATTTTAGCAATGTCATCAAATCAAGAACGATGAGTTGGACGGGTGTTGTGAGACGCGTTCAGTAAATGAGAAAAGTATGAAAAATGCTGGACGATTAACCTTAAGACAAGAAACAATTTTGGCAGACTTAGACATATATGGGAGGATAATATTAAAATTATTCTTACAGAAATGGAGTTTAGAATGTAGGACTACACTGTATTTATCTGGATCCGAATAAGGTCTTCGGGTTCTATAAACACTGGGAAAATTTTTCATCAACTGAGCTTCTATCAGCTTCTCAATAAGAACTCTACTCCGTGGAATGCTTCTCGTGGTATTATCCCTATAAAGACCAGTGCTAACTATGTGTACCACCTGCTTTAAGAGTCAGTAATGCTGCATTCTTTATTAAGGCTTTCGTATGATTCTCACTGTAAAAAGAGATTATTTCCTAGAATGGAAATAAGTACTACTGGCGAAAAGTTGTTTTCAAGTTTTGTATTTTATATGAAGGACGGACTAAATTATTAAAATTATTTAGACGAGCTTTGGTTTCAGAGTGTTAATTGCCATTTTTAGCTAATACTTTGTAGATTTATCACGTCACAACATTCATTCAGTCTTGCACGGTTCATCCTTCATATTTTGTTTAAATATGGTCGTCAGGTGTGTCTGAAGGCAATTTTACAATACGCAGATTGTTATTAGAGCAGTCAGTTATATCACGTGACCATTGGTGCAGATTTGCCCGGGTGATGTATGTTTGTTTTATTAGCTGTTGCATGGAACTGGTGTTGACATTCATTGATTACCCCGCACCCTGCTGATGGCGAGGTTTGACATACGGACCATGGTGATGCTGAACTGCTCTCTCGCTCATGGTTATAGTCAGTGTGCTATCCAGCAGACACAGGGTGCTTAAGAAACAGTGACTTACAAAATGTGACTTTACCAAGTTTGAAAGGTTAAACTTAAGAATCATATTGGAATTCTTCCGTTGAATATTTTTGAGCGATTCGATTTGAACTGTGGAGAAAGAAGGAAACAGGGGATGGGGGAAGAAAGAAAGAGTACATTAAATGTATGAGAATAGGCCCCGTGATACGCAGTCAATTTGTGGGTTACTTTCAGGGGAAGAGATGGTGAGCTTTTACGCTTATTCCGAAAAGTACAGTACCATGTTCTCAATAGGTTAGTATTTTATGAAGCTGTAATTTCCTCACTTTCTTTGAATACGTTTTATAATCTGCTTGCAATATTTGGTTTCTAAAGTAACAGCTCTGTTTAAGGATGAATTAAATTCTTATTCCCGAAACATCGAGAAAGACGTGTTTACAAAACTTTGCGAGGAAAGAGCTGTTTTATAATGAGGAGACCTACATTTGGAGCAACAGCGCAATTGGTATGTTAATCTGTATATAGACTACAGGTTATTTGGCGACGCTGTAACATATTCAGGACTTATTTACTGTTCTTGCTTTAGCTGTTGGGCTGATCACTCTTCTAAGGAGTTATCTTAAAGTTTCACTCTCTTGGAAAAATTGATATGTGAGAGTGTCTGCTATATGGAGATGTTTCCGCTAATTGGCGTCTCTCCACACATACGAACTCAGCAGGTTGATGTGCCTGTAATTTCCGGGAATTTAATTCATGAGATACCATGTTCGTGTCTCGACCTGGTTATGAACCCTGCTGGCTAAACATTTTTATAATTTTCTTCAATCTCTCCGAGATTTTGACGAAATCGTACCCTGAAATAAGCCACGACGCCTTATTTCTAGTTTTTAACAATTCACTCGTTATCGTCTTCCCGGTTCATTCAACTTAGCTTCGCAGTTGAAACAGCTTCGTTAAATCATGTAAGAATCAGTCATGCACACACGTAAACTGTAACCCCGCTATACGTAATTCATTCCACTAATCTTTTTCCCTAGACCCAACCAACACTTTTGTCTACTTTTGACGCTGTGACACTGAAAATTATGCCCATAATATTTTTATTTTATTTCCATTTTTATATGACAGATGTACCTTAGGTTCGTATTCTGGTATAGAATAAGATAACAAAAAACCGTTTCTAACCAGTTTCTTTTGAGAAGACCTAATTTGTATCGAAGTTTTCAAAAGGAAGAGTAATCCGATGAGTGAAAGGAGGGCACTGGTGTGTGTGTTCATGTGAGTGATCTCTGGTGATAATCGCTTACCCCCTGGGAAGAAATGTTTAGTTACAGCTCATCTAAGCAGCTTAGGAGAGCTAGCGGAAAGGTTTGCTACAGATATATTTCATAGACACGTGCAAATGTGGGATTAAGTTAGAAAAAAAAAGCTACATAGTGAAGAATTATAAAATATAGGCCTGGTGTTTAGTTGTAGAAAGTTTCGTAACAAAATTGAATCAGAATAATTTACTCTGTTGTATACTAAAATCGGGCAAGTTAATGGATAACAGTTGCACAGTAACAATGAGTGTCAGGAGGTAAGAGTTGAACCAATCAGAACCTGTCAGACTTTGCTGTCTGTGCAAAATTTTTTTTTTGGACTTTGTTCATCGTCTAAATTATAAAATTATAGAACTAAACGTTTCTAAAGCTGGATTCTGCTTTCGTCACCAGGTAAAAAAGGGACAGATATAGGACTCCTGTCTGTTGAGCCCTCTGGTTAAGATAGCCTCAGTTCTGGACCAGGGAGCCCAGCAAATAGGCTGTCTGTCTTCTATCCCTATTTTACCTGGTGACGAAAGCAGAATCCAGCTTTAGAAACGTTTTATTTCTATAATTTAGGTAATGGATAAAGTCCAAAAGAACGTTTTACACAGTAGAACGCACCATCGTCAGAAATATTCAAGTATCTACTTTGTTGTCGGTACTGTACGCCGCGAATGCACTTTTTTAGGCATGCTGTGTTGGGCTTCCAACAGTGAAACGTATTGCTAGTTATTGGGAATCTAACTGGACTAAATTCGTAGTAATAAATAATATAATAACAGGACTAAAATTGATAACTAATACGACCTGATACACGATATAGCCTATTTAACACTGCAATGCTTGGCGAATTTGAGTACAATCTTTCAGTATCGCATTCCTATGACTCTGTTTCTCTGCGTGCGACGAACACTCGCTCGTCCGTTGTCTTGATTAATTCCGGTTTTTGTTATGTTGTCGTGTGTGTCAATTACGAGTCTGGTCTGTTCACATCGTAACAAAGAAGAAACATGCATGCCATAATGGACAGCTTAAAGCTTCCGGAGGACTATCTAAATCTCCATTTTTGCACAGCGTCCAGACATGCCACTTATTTTAATTTCCTCTATAAGGAGTCTGACTTTCAGTTGGATGGTCTTTGTGTTGCATTCTGGTGCTTCTTTTGTTGACTAAATGGTTTCGTGTTACTCAAAAATCCTCCCGTTTCACAAATCTTAATAAAAGGTAAACGATATTGTGCATAAACACTAACCGCTGAAGACAAGGAGGGGAACAGATGTAAAAAAGTGCATTCTCAAAATCGGTACTAGACGGCAGTTAAGTGGCCAGTTTAATGCTCCGACTGCTTTTTCTGCTGAGAAAAATCTCGGTATCTATTTTTTGGGAGGCCGAGTGAGCCCCAGCACTGGTCTGAATGTAACAGCGAAGAGAAAATTCCCTGCCAGCAATCGAACCCCGGTCTTGTGACCCGTAGACAATCACATACTGATCGAGACAGATTTTCCAGTTCACATGATTTCCACGGTAACACTACGTTGGGAATGCAGTGATGAATCCGCAAATCAGTAGTTCTAACAACCATTAAACTGACCACATAGCCATATTTTCAATCATTTTCCCATGTCTTTGTATTCTTTCGGTCTGTACTGAAGAATTAACAAATCGTCTTTATAAACGTCCGATTTTGTTAAGTACATTGGCCAAAGACGTCTTTATTTTACCTATTTTTTTATTTTTAGTAGTTTTATGGTGATTTAAAAAAGGTATGTAGAATTTTTTCCTACCTATGTTAACGTGGCTCGCACATTAGACGTTCGCACGCCCCCAAATTAAGTTTCAAAGGTTGAATACTTTCAGTGGCATGATGTTCATACATCATTCCATAAAAATTTATCAGTT